GGGATTTGGAATTGAGGAAAATTGGAGAAGAGGGAAGAAACCCAGTTAGGGAAATTGGGGAAGGAGTTGGGCATGAATCGTTACGAGAGAGCCGGGCAACCCTCGGTAAATCAGGCCTATCCATTTTCCCACTTGAATTTCAGCTATGAGGCCACCACCGTTGGAAAGAATACTTCCGGGGCTTCATTCTACACTCAAGAATCTCCTAAAACAGAGTCCGGATGGGGGAGATATAGTCGGTTGAAGTTAGGCATCAATCCAATTGAGCCGGAAATGAGTAGTCTTCACTAAAAGAGGGATATCTCTTTAAAAAGTTGGAATTTTGATGCAAGGCTTCCACCATTGGAAAGATTACTTCTAGGGCTTCATTTTAGACACAAGAATGACCTGAAAAAAAGTTCATATGAAGGAGTTATGCCCATTTGAAGTTGGACCTGCAAAGCAGAATTTGCAGTCGGCCATCACAAGTAGCAGGTCGGCCCCAAAGATGGCCGGCCCGCCAAGAGTGACCCAAACTCAAAATTTTTGATGATATTTTGTCCTCCAGCTATTTCCAGGTTGTGCCACCTATCCTAGCTCAGATACTTTCAACCAAATGCTCTCTTTTTGCTATATATGAAGCTATATCTCATATATTCAAGGACAGAACATTGAAGCAATGGTGGGAGCCTCTCTCTCTAAAAAATCCTCTCTCTTTAGAAAATTTTCAAAGCTAAATCTCTGTCTCTCTCTAGAGCTCACTCTCTCTTGCCCTTTTGTGCATGAAAGCTTAGATACACCATACATTTGCATACAAGCCCTTAACCAAATTGAACCACCATGGAGCTGAGGCCTCATGGAACTTATTTTGGGCTGTTGAAGGGTCATTAAAGCCAAGAAAGAGGTTGTTTTGTTGCTGTGCATCAAGAGGTATAACTCCTTTTTTGTATTTGTTTTGCACACTTGCTTCACCATCCTTTTCCCATTGTTTTGGGCTATTTTTTGAGGTGGTGTTGAACTACAAAAAGGTCTGATTTTCAGTCCTAAAAATGTTGGTTTAAGCCTTGTTTGGCCAGAGGGTGTTTCTTTCATTTTGCTCATTGGCTTGTAAGGCCTTTTGAGCTATCTTTCAAGCTTTTCAAACAACTTCTTTTTGGCCTTAAAACCACTGAATTCCAGAGGAATTTCAGTGGTAGAAAACTTGTTTTGAGGCTCAAAATAGGAGGGGGTGGTTCCCTCTCCTCTTGTCTTGTTAGCACGTGTTGTTGGCCTATCAAATGAGCATGTATTTCTCCCTTCTTGAGGCTTAGTTTGAGCATGTTTTTGTGACTTTTTGGGCATGCTTTAACTCTGATTTTGGCTGGTTTAGTCCATTGAGCAATGTATTACATAGTCCTAATGTTGTGTACTTCATTAGCTTTGATGCCTAAGTCTTCTAGCATGTCTTGCATGCATTGTTTGCATGATTTAATGTTGTTTAGCATGTCATTTCAATGCTGGAATGTATGCCATTGCACTCAATTAATTCACTCTTTCATGTTCTTTGAAAGTGGACTTAAGCCCTTTGTTGGTTTGAGCACGAAATTAAGGCGTTCATGCCCAATAGCATGATGCTTCTTTCATGCTCAAGAAGCTTGTGGCTTGTTCCGTCTTTCAAATTAGAGGACTTCTCACTTTTGGACTTAACCGGTTAAATGGCTTATCAGTAATCTAAAACAAGTAAACAAAATGAATCAAAGTAAAACATGCCAAGATAACATGTTCGTGATGCATTGCATGTGTTTGGATCGGATGTTAATCCAAACACAAGAAATGAGAGACGTTTCATACTTGAAGTGACGAAACGTGCCTCATTTCTTAGTCGTCATCCCCCTTGATTGTGCATGATAGTGTGGAGGCCTTTTGAGTCTTATGTGCGCATTCATCAACATTGTGCAAGCTTGACTCTTTGGCCATCATGCATTGAGATGCGTGATTGATGGCTTGAGAGCCGAGCATTACACTCCTTTGAGCTTGAGACATGATAAGGAAATATTAGTCGCCAATTGTTGACTTTTAGCTACTAAATATTTTTTAGTAGCCAAAAAGCTTCACTTTTGGCTACGAAATTTTTTTTTGTCGGTAAAACAAACATGCCCAACACATCCTAAAACTCAAACACTAAGAGTAAATGATAGAAACGAGAATAAGACGACAACACAACCACAGAACCGAGTCCGGATTACAGTTAAACAACCAAGGGGAAAAACCGAGATCGCTATAAAGATAGTGAATACACGTGTTTTATGTAACGTTTAAAGGTATAACTTTGAATAATGTGTCATGTGATGAAGTGATGAAAGTGCTATATGGAGGTAGTGCATTCATTCCGGTTAGCACCCGATAAAGCGGGTAGATGTGCTATATAGAGGCAATGTTTTCCTTCCGGTTAGCACCTGGTAAGTAGGCAGATGTGCTATATAGAGGTACATATGTGCTATATAGAGGTAATGCGTTCCTTTCGACTAACAATTGGTAAAGCAAGCTGTGCTATATAGAGGTAATGCGTTCCTTCCGGCTAGTAATCGGTAAAGCAGGCAGACGTAGCACTTGGCGAGATCACAGTGGTGATGTGGAGCTTGGCGAGATCACAAGTTGTTTATTTTATTAAGGGATGTTATTATTAATGTGTGTATATATACGTAGAAATAATTGTGGATGAAAATATGTGTTGAGAATTTTATATATATATATATTTAGTTATTTTATTTTTGGATATGATATTTCAATTTGAGGAAGAGATTACGTTAGTAATTTAGTTTTTGTGGTTAGGTTTTTTCATTGATAGTGGTTCTATCTATGCATGATAGTTAAATTAGGAGTAAATTACACTATTGTTCTAGTAAGTTAAGCTAAATGTTACTTCAATTTTTTGTAGTTTCGATTTAAATAATTTGAACTTACACTTTCAATTTTGTTCTTCTATCTTGCTCCATTAACATTTGAAATGAAGAAAAAAAAAAAAAGCACGTGCAAATTAGGACTAAAGTGGAATTCAAAAAAAATTTATAGAGATTAATCCAAAAAAAAAAAAATTATAGAGACTAACACTCCGTTTGTTTGGATATTAATATTTTTCATATGTTCTAATGTTAGGCATAATAGAAAAACAAAAATCAATAGAAAATATTTTTTATGGTCAACAACAAAACAAGCCTGTATGAACATAAAATGTTTTTCACGGACTAAAGTTTTACCAATGTCATCATAGTATTACTACCACTCTCACCTCCACCACCACACCACATCATCACGGCCACTGGCACTATCAAAATCGCTATCACCACAGCCGACACCCCACCACCATGCCTCCACCTCCACCTCCATTTTCGTTCCACCACCACCACCACCAAATACAGAAAATATTTTCTAGAAAAAAAATTTTCATAAAATATGTTTTTCATTAGAAAATATTTCCGCCAAAATAAAAGTAATCCTTATAGTTTTTTTTTTTTTTTGAATTATATTTGTTTTGTACATAGTCTTTTTTCGTTAAAATTTTTAATGATAAGTGACGGAATGGTCATAATTACAATAAAATTAGAAATGAAATTTTCCTCAAACTAGATGAACCAATGATGTAGTTTTCATTATTTTCAATACATATAATTGTAATTAGGGGTGTAAGAAATTCGATCAAACCGAATTGGTCACTTAAGCCTAATCATACAAAATTTTAGTTTTTGATCTTTTTTATAAAGATAAATTGTAAATACATTCTTAAAATTTATTTAAAATATAAGTTGCCTTTGAAACCAAACCAAACCCCTTCTCCACATTAAATCAACAAAATCAATCCAAACCAAACCATATTATGCGATTTGTTTCAAAAAAGTTAGGTGCCAAACTTTCTCGTATGACCGAATCGAACCCAATATAGATTTTCTATATTTTAGTCAGCTCTCACTACAAGAATTAACACTTTTGGCAACAAAAAAATTGGTCGCTAAAAGTCTATTTTTGGTCGGCAAAAGTTATCCGCGACCAATTTTTTTGGTCGCTACTTTGGTCGCCAATTGAGGGTCGGGAAAAGTAATTCGCGACCAAAATTTTGGTTGGTCGGCAAAAGTTGGATTTCGCGACTAAATTTTTAGTCGCTAAATGTTTAATTACCGCGACTAATTTATTTTGTCGCCAAAACACTTTGGTCACGAAAAGTGATATTTTCGCGACCAAAACGTTTGGTCGCCAATCGTGACATTCCGCGACCAAAAAATTTGGTCGCCAATCGTGACATTTCGCGACCAAAAAATTTGGTCGCCAATTGTGACATTCTGCAACCAAAATTTGTTTGGTCGCCAATTGTGACATTTCGCGACTAAACAATTGGTCGCCAATTGTGACATTCTGCGACCAAAATTTGTTTTGGTCGCCAATTGGGACATTTCGCGACCAAAAATTATGGTCGCCAATTCGCGACCAAAAATTATGGTCGCCAATTGTGACATTCTGCGACCAATATTTTTTTGGTCGCCAATTGTGATATTTCGCGACTAATCAATTGGTCGCCAAAACTATAAAAACCAAACCAAATTTTGGTCACCAATACCCAACAAAATAAACCTGTAATTTATAATAATTCATCCAATTTATTCAATATAATCTGTAAAAAGAAGAAATCATTCAAACCAACAAATAAATTGAATCATCAACATTCAACAAAATACATATATCAACCATTTCTGAACCTGTTTAATTAAAGTCAGCAACTATTATAAGTTTACATCCGCAAATAATTCGAAACTACATATTTCATTTAGCATAAAAATTAAACACATAACAAGTACTTGGATTATGTTTTAAAATTTTATCCATGTACATCAACCCAAAAATATAACTAGTAGTCTACCAAATATTTTCTATACACACACATCCAAAAATATAACTACTAGTCTACCCTAATATATTCCATATACATCTATACAAAAATATATAATCCTTCCAAAAATACAAAAAGTGCCAATTTGTCCTGTATAATTTAGCTTTGTGCACGAGTTCATCCATCTGTACCAAAGAAAAAGAGAAATAATGTCAGTTAAAATTGGACAAATAATGAAAAATGTCCATGAAAAGCAAAGGTCACATTAGCAAATTAAAATGACTACCATTATCAAATTGTAAATAAAACAATAACATTCTTATGTCTATAGAATAAATTGGATGAGCCACAATTCCCCGTTTAACCAGTTTGTGACTATTGGATAGTTTTATTTCTAATCGTTTTTATTTAGAGATAAGTATTAGAAAAAGCAAATACTAATATATTACTTTATATTTATCATGCATGTATTGATCAGTGATATAAAAAAATGTTTAAAACAAAAAATAAAATATAGCAGCTCTCTAATAAATTTGATACATCGATGATTAATAGTTTGTATTTATAGTTGACAGTCACCTATAAATACAAACTATGAATTGGTGTTGATAGTCACCACCATATATAGCACACCACCGAAAGCATCCAGACAGATCTGATGCAGACCACCAAAATTGCTCCAGATCAGTCCACCTTCATGACTGATGCAATACTTCACCATGCAGACCACCAAAGGAAGAGAAAAGAAGGAAACAAAAAGAAATAGAGAGGAGCTAATTCAGAGCAGTTTTGGACCCCAAACGCCCCGGTTTTGCCTACTTTGTCACACTTTTATGTCCTACATAACTAATAATGCGTCCTATCAAAGCGTTGCTTGCTTTCACAAGTTTTTTTGATCTAGGCCGAGGTGACCACTACGATATCGGGTTGTTTCCAGGCTGTTTCCAACTTTTTGCCCCAACCGGCTCGTTTTTGCCTTATCTATCACATTTTGGTTTCCATGGAACAGTCACAAATTCTTGTTTAACTAGTCATCCTTGGATCAGTGGAACATTACAATGTTTAAAGTTTCTATACTGGTCAACATAAACTAAACTGTAAATTCCATCTTTTATAAGTTAAACAAAAATTAGTTTAAAGACAATCATTTCTCTATGATATTCTCATCAAACGTTTATTTGCCTTTACTTTGAACATAAATATAATCAAATATGGTTTAACACACTTACCAATTACCATGACTATCTATTGTCGAGAATTTGGTAGATTGCGATTTTCCAAAACTTGCGCCAACATGCTCTGAAGTCCAAAAAGCTGCCGCTGCATCTCCTCACGTTGTCTTGTATTCTCTGCCTCTTTCATTTGTAAAAAAGCTACAAAAAAAATTAAATTAAAATTTTAAAAAAAAAAGATACTAAATATCACTACTGAATGAATAGCAGAGAGAGAGTGGTTGAGAGATGACTATCAGTTTCAACTACTTGCCTACAAAATTAACATACTAAATATGCACTAGTTCATTTTGATGACAGGAAAAGATTATAAAAAATAAATAATTAAAAAAAAGAAAAAGAAGAAGAAGAGGAAGAAAGAAGAAAATGCATTAGTTAAGTAGCTTTGCATACACTATGCATTTAATCATAGATGTATATATGCACATAGGTACACATAATACATGCTCAGTATATTGTTTTCTCTTGATCTGTTGTTCATGTTATAACAGGCTGGAAGACATTCTTGATCATAATTTTCTCAAACATGAATGTCTAATTTTCTCAAAAAAATGTGCCCACCTGAACATAATAACCCACTCGCGAATAGGTTAGTCAAAAAGTCAACCTGGTTTACTCCTTCCAATATCCTCAACTCCATCTCATTATATACAGGAAACAGAACTACTCACTTATGTCCCAAACTATCTTGGCAAAAACTAATGTGTAGTCTAGATTTTTTTTCTGTATTTTGGTATATAACTAGTCAATAGTCTTTCTTCACCAAGAGTGATCGATGGGGCGGCCCCTACCACCTTGCAACCAAGTTTCTATTTTGTCTTGGGTACTTGATGTTCTTGCTATTTTAAGGCAATTAGGTACGTTTATCATCGACTAGAGAAACAATTTCTTCACACATGACTGCAAATTTGGTACAACTGAGTTATGGTTGATGCGGCATTTTGCATGTGTTGCATTAGGCATTGTTGACATAGCTAGGATCATGCATTGATTACCAACTAGCTTCTGTTTTGGCTTGGAGTACACTGTGAGTGTTTACGCTTTAGTATCCTTGCATGTGTGTAAGTGTTGCCATGATAGCATGCTTGTCGTGAGGCTATGTGCTTAAATGATTAACTGCCTGAATGCCTGTGGATGAAGGCTTTATTGCTTGAATTGGAACAATTCATCAAAATGTGCGTTTTAAGCCCACTTTGCGGAGTGGAAAAATCACGTTGTTTTAAAGCCCACTTGAGGGTGGCAAATCTGCGCTTTAGCCTACTTGAGGGTAGCAACTTTAACCCATTTTCGAAAAACAAACATTAGATGTTTTGTTCCAAATTGAGTGATTTAGTCTATACTTGTATGCTATGCGCATCACATAGTAATTCTAGATTAATAACCAGAATAAGAACACATGTGTTTTTAAAAACAACATATCATGTTTAGTAGAGGCCGATCTTTGATCGGGCGAGCGGGGGTGCTCATTTCAGGACCTTCCTCTCTTGTACCCAAGTTCCCGAGCCGAGGCAACTTTGGTGATGACGGACACGTGGCCTTAAGCATGAGTCAGGATTTCCTAAATTTGCCAAAATAAAATATTTAGGTGGCGACTCTGAAATCTGGCAAAGCAGTCCATGTTTGGCACTTTTTGATTAAAATCGATTTTCCAAAACAATTTGCCGGATTTGGACTCTTTGGTGATTTATCAGTCTTACATTGCACTTTGTGAGATTAGATTCAGAACCGTGACAGGAGTCCGAACTGTAGTAGCTAGGACACAAATCTGCGCCCTCTCCAAAAGGGGGGTGCGCGGAGCGAGTTCGAGCGGTCTACAGTTTCTGGCGACTCTGCTGGGGATTTAGAGAACTTGACTCGAACATCATGATATGTTTTTTTGTTTACACTTATGTGTTTCTTTGCATTGCATTTGCATTGGTGCACCTAGGACACCATGTTTGCCATCTGCTATTCTTGAACGGTTTGCCGGAGGCTTACTCGGAAAAGCGTGCCATAAGGCTGACCGGTTACGGGCTCTGCCACGATAGGGACACAAACCTCAGTTTTTACCGAGGCATCCTTTTTGACCATTCGACGTAGTGCATATCGGAAGCCGTAACTCTGTATCTGGCAAAGCAGTCCATGTTTGGCACTACTTTTTCAAAAATCTGTTTCTCAAAACGATTTGCCAGATTTGGACTCTTTGGTTCAGATTAAGAACCATGACACAAATCGAGTCCGAACTGTAGCATGAGGCCCACGGGCGCGTCTACAGGCGTACGGAGCGAGTTTGGGCGGTCTACAGTTTCTGGCGACTCTGCTGGGGATTTAGAGAACTTGACTCAAACATCATGATATGTTGTTTTGTTTACACTTATGTGTTTCTTTGCATTGCATTTGCATTGGTGCACCTAGGACACCATGTTTGCCATCTGCTATTGTTGAACGGTTTGCCTGAGGCTTGCTTGGAAAAGCGTGCCATAAGGCTGACCAGTTACGGGCTCTGCCACGATGGGAACACAAACCTCGGTTCTCCCGAGGCACCCTTTTTGTCTATTCGACCTAGTGCATATCGGACGCTTTAGAGACTGTTCCAAACTAGGACAGGTTGCTTACCCGAATGTAGGTTGTTTGAAATCGCTATGTGCGTAGTGAAACCCTAGCTCCTGACAAGATAGGACAGGGAAACCCTACCCCATTATAGGGGTGTTTTGGCTCTCAATTAACTGGTATGTGCTTTATAGTGAAACTGTACAGGGATGTGCATGTCAGTTGTCAAATTGGTATCTGTTTGGGCAGAATTTGGTAGAGAGCACAATCATTTAGTTGTAATCATATCCGCTCTTGTGAAACCAGGCTGAGATGCTGTCTATTTTCTTCTTTTATAAGGTAGTCTTGGAACCATAGCTTCAGAAGGCTCCAATATCCCCTAGGTGCATTGGACCTGTATTGATAGACTTTGTTAGGTTAGAGATTCAGTTCAAGGGCAACCAGTGTTTCCTTTGCCAAGGCAAGGCAAAGTGGCAAGGCAAAGAAAAGCCAGTTAGGGCTTATCGGTTCAATCGATCCGCTAGTCACCAGTCACATCACCTCTATTCAAACTCAACAGACCCGTGATGGCACAGAGTTCGGAAGAAGTTGTTACCGTGATAGCAGCATTAAACCAGGGAATCACCAGGCAGAATAAGACCAATGCCGAAACGCAACGCCCATCTGGGGCATCTGCCACACATCCAGTCTTGAGACCCCAGCTGAACTTTGACCCACTTCCGCTAGCTGAAGATTTGCAGGGTCTGGATCCCCAAGAAGGATTGGCTCGAACTCGAGTTCTCAGACCCCTGGTGCAGCCTAATGAGAGGCTTTATCTCCTTGATGCTAATGATCTCAATCTGATAGCGGTGAAAATTGCGAACCTTGATAAGCAATTCGAAAAGGCACAGGGCCTTAACTCCATTCCTGACATTGAGGATGGGTACACCGAGTCTACCGTACGACTCCCAGACAGATTCAAAATGCCACGTATTGACCGTTTCGACGGGTCTGAAGATCCTATGGTACATATCCGGCTTTTCTTGGATGTCCTGAAGCCGATGGGTTTGACAAAGCCATAGAAACTCTCTCTGTACGGAAGAATCCTGTCGGGTGTAGCAGCCGCTTGGTATGCCAAGTTGGAGAATACAGTGAAGCATAACTGGGAAGAATTGGCTGAGGCCTTTGTTGATCAGTATTCTTACAATACCCAAGTTGAAATGACCACCCAAGAGCTTGAAGCAACCCATCAGAATCCTACAAAACCTTTTGTGGAATTTGTTGCAAGATGGAGAGCAAAGGAAACACAGATGACAGATTGACCTTCTGAGAGGGATCAAGTGTAGATAATGGTGCACAACCTTGAGCCTGATATGTTGCAAAAGTTGATAGTCGTTCCACTATCCACTTTCAAAATTTTGCATGAACTGGGGGTTCAGATCGAGAATGCGTTCAACACAGGGATTATTCCCAGAATAAGTGAACTGATAAGGAGGGTTTTTGCAGGGAGTACCAATGCTGGCAGTAGCACTATTCCCAAACCCATTGAAATCAATACAGTCGCCACAGGTGACCCTTTTGCCAAACCAAGCCTACAAACAGCCGACCCAACCCGAGCTCAGGGTAGAACTTTCACCCCCCTCTATATGAGCCTGACCAGCGCACTAAAAGTCTTGATGGAAAGAGGGTATCTTAAACCCCTTGATCCTCAACCTCTGCCTGACCCACTCCCTACCAGGCATAACCCCACTAAATACTGCGTGTACCATCAACAGCGCGGTCATGGCACCGATCATTGCTACCGCCTTCGTCATGAGGTCTAGAATCTTATCGACAACCGGACGATAGCTCCACCTCAAGACCCTAATGACCAAGTAGCCCATCCACACCTCAACCTCATCCATACATTGCCGTCTGGCTACAACCCCAGTATATACATCACCCCGGCCCATCTACCCAAGCCTGAGGTGTTTATTTCAAAAAGCATGGACTTATGCATAATGGATGCACTTGAACCCCAATCATCTCAAACCCGTGAACCCACTACTTCTGAGTTGATGAGAATGATCGAAGATCTTCAGAGAACTGTGGCAGATCTGGCCTCTGGGATATTGGCTCTATCATCAACCACATCACATGCTACAAGTTTCACGCCAAAAAGCTCCTCAATCGTGGGACGAGTTTCATTGGAAGAAGGCCAATCCCTTGGCAAAGTGGAGGCAAGTGGTAAGAACAAGGTAGGGGCAGGCATTGGTCCTTATGAACACCTTCAGTGGGCTGTTGAGGCTTTGAAAGCCAAAGGGCTGAACAAACAGCAAGTGATTGCAGTTGTTGCAAAGATTGTGGATGACACTTTTGCCACTCAAAATGAGAGCAGTTTGAATCAAGGGGCAAGCCGAGAAAAGGACCGTCGTACCAGGAACGTTCCTTTCAGCTCTAATCCCGTGCTCGGAAGATATCAACAAACCCAGTCAGCGCCTACCAATCCCTTTGCTGGTGCATCCAGCAAAACTCCACAAACCTCGAAGTACTAACCCTGAGGTCAGAGGGTCTTCTATCCCCTCTACATGACTTTGTCCAAAGCTTTCCAAATCCTCATTGGACAAGGCCATCTCAAACCCCTTGAGCCTCGGCCTCTCCCGAATAAACTTTCCCCCTCCCATGATCCGGCCAAGTACTGTGCCTTCCATCAACAAGTCGGCCATGGCACTGACAGTTGTTTTCGTTTTCGCCACAAAGTACAAGATCTGATTGACAACAGGGTCATCGCCGCACCAGGCTCTACAAAGTCTATCGGCACTGGATCAGTGAACTTGGGAGATGATGTGATCATGTGATCGGGGGATGAATCACTTGCTGATGGCGCTCAGTTTACTCCAGATATGGGGATGACACGCACTGTTTTGAGCATTTTGCGAATGCTAGTTAGTTTACTTTCTGACTTGGGCATTGAGTCAGTTTTGTTGTGTTGTTTTGAGTCTATCTTGTTGTTTTGAGTCAGTCTTTTTGTTTGGGGTCTGTCTTGTTGTATCGAGTTAGTCCTATTGCGTTGTAGTCAGGTGATTTCGGGGGTGTTACCTGAGGTATCACTATCTTGTTTTGTGTTGGTCTTTTACACCATTTGTTTTGCGTCTGTTCCTTCCATGGAGGCAGTTGTGCCAGAAGATTTGAATGAAACGACAGTGCATTTTCACCTACTTTTCTGTGCCTTGAAATCATTGCATTGACCTACGTTTTTCAAAATTTTTTGAATATTGTGATGAAAACAAAGAGGGAGGAATTCCTCGGGATTTGCAAAATTTGATCAATTGAGAGAAAGAGAGGCATGCTAAGCCTTAATGAATGAGATCATGTTTGTTAATGTGAGTACTGAAAAGGATCCTGGCTTGATCTAGATTGGTTCTACATTGTCTTCAACGC